CAGGTCGTGACCCGGGGTCCTAGGATCGAGTCCTGCGTCGGGCTCCCTGCTCAGCGGGGAGTCTGCTTCTCCCTCCGCCTCTGCCCCTGCTTGTGCTCGCTCTCTCTCGCTGTCTCTCATATAAAAATATAAAATCTTTGGGGAAAAAAAAAAGTTCTCGAATCAAGCCAGTGTCACAAGTGAGTTCATTACGGAGGGCACAAGCAGGCACCTTATACAATCCTAAAACTGTCCCTTGGATGGACATTTGTCATTTTAATTTCTATGAAATAAACCTGGCTTCACCTATAGGTCCTCTAAAGAGTAAGAACATCGTACTGTTTGTTAACACAAACCTAATCACTCTGTAAATGTCCTGCTGCTGAGTTTTAAAAAACAATACAACTGTCAGTATTGTAAAATAACAATGCTGATTACCACTGAAATTGTTGCAAATACCACTTTCAGTTTTGGGTTAAGTCCAGCCCTAGCTCTATGTGCAGGAGTTTCGAAGGAAAAGCTTCAATTGATGGCAAGAGGGAGCAAAAGCTAGAAGCCTGGAAAGACTAGGGTATCTCCTGGGGCGCCTGGGTGGCTCAGTAGGTTAAGCATCTGCCTTCAGCTCAGGGTTCTGGGATCGAGTCCCACATCGGGCTCCCTGCTCAGTGAGGAGCCTGCTTCTCCCTCTCCCTCGGCCCCTCCCTCCCCCTGCTCATGCTCTTTCTCTCCAATAAATAAAATCTTAAAAAAAAAAAAAAAAAGCCTAGGATAGACTAGAGTATCTCCTAAGATGGGACCCAGTTCATACGCTTCCTCTCTGCAGCCTTCCCAACTCCCCTCCCCACTTCTGGACAGAAGTAACCCCTATTTCCGCTGCATGAGGTGGTCAATAGCCTTGCAGTGTTCTCCTTAGCCCAGCAACAATGCGCTCTCCCTTCTGGTTACTTTTGAGTGATTAACAAAACCTCATTTGGGAAATAACACCTTCACCAAACCCAGTCTGTGAGATTTGGGTGGAACTCTCCCCACTCCCCAGCTTCCAGGATGGACATGATCAGAGCGAATGGGTGCCGACTCCAGGACTGTTCCTGGCAAAGGGGCCCTCTTTTCTACTCTGTAGCTGAACTGGTAAGAGACAAGCGGGGATGCTGGGGGGGCTCACACAGGGACAGCCCACCTGAGACTGAAGCCAGCATGGAGAAGTTGCTGAGCGTGACAGGCCTGAGGACGCTGTCTGAACACGTGGACCCAGGATCTACATTTGGACTTTAGTTAGAATAAATTCCCCTTTGCTGAAGCTGGTGTGAATGAGGTTCCTGATTGACAGAAGCACACATCCCATTGTATGGAAACTATGATTCACCCAGCTCTCTGCCTCACCCACACAGAGCAGGTGCAATTTCTTGGGGCCTGGCCCTGACCCGTGAGGACCAGTGTCAGCAGAGTAAATAAAAACAGCAACTACCACTGAGTGATTTATTGGTGTCGGGGCTGTGGTAAGCCTCTATGTGGATTCTCTCAATCCCGTTTACAGCCCCATTCAGTAGGTACTATTTAATACTGCTCTGACTTAACACATGACGAGTCTGTGGCACAAAGGTCGAATGAAGGCCGTGCCCAGGGCCACACACACAGCTGGCCACCTGCAGAACCAAGCTCCTTATACAAACGACAAAGTTACGGTAACAGCCACTGGGGAAAGTGAATTGCCAACTCGCTTGTAATTTCACCCTCCAGAAAGTACTACTCTAGAACCGTTTGGAGACTATGGCTTCAGGGGTCACTGCATGCGTACCCCATTCCTCCACCACCAGTAGGAGCCAACGATGATACAGTGTTCACTCTGTGCCAGTCACACTTCCAGGAGTCACCCCTAGTAACGCACTCTTTCTACCCTGTGTTCTTACCCCAGTTAAGCAAGAGGTTAAGAGCAGGTTAATCAACAATGAGCTGGGATTTGAACTCAGGCAGGCAGGATCCAGAATCTGCTCCAACCACAGCACTGGGCTGTCTTGACACTGAATCACTGTTCAGTGAATGTTATGAAGGCAAAGGGGATGCAGTCACTCCTCCGCGAGCAGAGGGAAAGGCTGAGTAAGCAGATGGCACTGCGTCAAGTATTTATGCAGCATAGTTCCCGTATTTGTTGTGGGATATGAACTCCCTAACGAGCACACAAAACTGTGTTCAGATATAAGCTTTTAAAGACTATTAGCCAGGGGCGCCTGGGTGGCTCAGTTGGTTAAGCGACTGCCTTCGGCTCAGGTCATGATCCTGGAGTCCCGGGATCGAGTCCCGCATCGGGCTC